TTGAGGGGGCCATTTAGGGATCTGGGACAAAAATCTGTCTAGGGATTGGTCCTGCTTTGAGCAGGGGGTTGGACTAGATACCTCCTGAGGACCCTTCTAACCCTGAGATTCCATGATTCATCAAGGAAAGATTCAACTACCAGTGCAGAATGACAGTTGAATGTACTTCTGGTAGATTGAAGAGATGCTGGCAGTGTTTACTGACTAGATTGGATCTCAGTGAGGAAAAATATCCTCATGGTTGTAGCTGCCTGTTGTGTTCTGCATAACATCCGTGAGACAAAGTGGGGAAAAGCTGTCCCCAGATTTGGGGGCAGTGATGGAGTGGCTTTCTGCTGACTGTGAACAGCCAGACACAACAACTATTACAACATGGAGCTATTGGTTGAGGAAGGCTTTGAAAGAGCACTTTAACGGTCAGCCAGTAGTGTTCTGTGCTGGAGTGTTCTCTGGGCCCGGAGCTTTTGGTGCTACTAGGAATTGTGCACTGCTTGCTGTATATGTATAAGTATGACTGGGTATCTTTCTGAAGCTATGAACTGTGTGGTGCTAAGTGTGCATTTATGAGAATTGTTTGTTTTGACTTAGCACTATGCAGTCTGGTGTATTTGCTGTGCACTAATAAAGATAATTTGATTATCTAAAAATAGAACTTTATTGGATGGCAATAAACCATGCTGAAAATCAAAGTGCAACAAAACCCATATGCAATGTTATACACATTTTTAACATAATGGGATGAAAATTTAAAATTAGAGAGGAAGTAAACATATACGTCCATTTGAGTAAACAAATGTAGTCTGTTGTGGCTACACATACCCCAGTCATGGTTCCCACAGGTGGTTTCCCACAGGAAGCTGTGGTTTTCCTTGCTGTCCTGCAGCGTGAAGTGTTAGGGGTAAGATTACATGATGCCGTGTGGTATGTTGGAGGGTGTATGGAGAAGTAACCATGGAGTTCTCCAAAGAATGCAAAGGGTGGAGAATCCAGGACTTTTGGACCTGTAGATCAACTGGGCTCTGCAGCATTTGGCCTTGCTGCCTGAGAAATCCCATTCTGTCCTGGTTCATTTCCCATTCTTTCACCTGCTGGGACTCCTGGGCCGTTTTCCTGTCCTCTCTTTCCTTCTCCATGCTACAGTCACATTGGCACTCCAAGCCCTTTGTTCACGGGCCAATGAAGCACTGGCTTGAAGGATCTCACAGAACATGTCCTTCCTAGTCCTCTTCTTTCTCCTCCTCCTCCTCATTGTCAGGTGTTCTGTGGGTGAGAAGCTCCCCTTCTTTATTCCCATAAACACTTTTAATAAGACTTGCATATTGACACGTCAGTTTTGGAGCACCTCGGCACAGCACCATCTCCAGCCCCAGCCATGGTGAGTATGGCCTGCCAGGGGTGAGGTGGGGAAGGATTTTCTGTTGCATGAAGCTATAAAATTTCGGTCTCTACTCCACAGGCATAGGAATATAGGGAAATGACACTGAATATTGGCACTATGTTTCACAGGCAGTGGTGATTTTAGTTGATGTCTAACTCCTGAGGGTCACAAAGGCACAGAGGACACAGCTTGTGCTGGTGTCCCAAAGCCACCCTGTAGCGGGGCGGCCTGGCTTCCAGGCGCCCCAGGAAGCGATGAGCCAGAACAGCCGCCAGAGTGGGCGGAGCCACCACGGCCTGTCCCCGCCCCCAGAAGTCAAGGGGCGGGACAGGAAGTATAGAGGCCAGGCCACAGCGCTCAGTAGCTGGCCGGCAGCGGGAGAGGACAGACGCTGGTGCCCGAGCTCCCGCGGACCTGAGCCTGCCGAGAGCCCGGTACCCCGAGGAGGACTGGCCGAGCCTGCCGAGAGCCCGGTATCCTGAGGAGGACTGGCCGAGCCTGCCGAGAGCCCGGTACCCCGAGGAGCGGCCTGAGCTTCCCCCCGCCGAGGGCCCAG